CATTATGTATTTACCAAATTTTTATATGGATGGATGGATGTATTTCTGCTGCTGGAGACCTGAATTTCTCCTTTAAGGGGACCAATAAAGTATCTATCTATCCAACTCATATAACGTTTAGACACAAAACAGAAAACATCTTGTGTGTTAGAAAAGTGGGAGAATTACGCCATCCTGTACTCTTGTGTAACGAGAGACATATCAAGACCCTTCTCGCATCTGCCTTGTCTCTCATCCCTTGATTTTAAAGCAGAAAAGACCAACAAAAACCTGCATCTGATCACACAAGTCATCCAGCCCTGACACATGTCTAAGGAGCCGATAAAGACTGATGAAAAGCCGACATGAAAAGATGCTAAGAGAAGGTCGAGAGGGGAAGGATGAAGCAGGCAGGACTGATGAGCTGCACACGTGTCTGTAAATGAAATGAAAGTCCCTGAAGGAGCGAGCACAATATGCATATGGAAAGACACATGCATCAGATGAGGTGGGACTGCGGCATCAAATCATAGAAGAAAGAGAGAGAGAGAGAGAGAGGATATTTATGCATAAGTGTAGCTGTATTTTTGATTGGCATAGATCTGATTGGTAACTTTCTCCTGCTTGTCAAGTTATCTTTTGTTCTTTAAGATTACCAGGAGTAGAACTTTTAACAGCAAAGTTACATAAGGTGCATTTAAACTATTGGAGATTGTGGACACATACTGTACAAACAGGGCAGCAGATGTGAGACCGAAGCAGTATTCCAAAATAAACAATGTTCAAACCAAAATAGATTGCTTTTTCTATATGCATTTTTCTCAATTCCAGATGTAGAACAATAATACCTAGACATTTTTTGTTTTGAGGGGAGTAGGCTTGCACTCCCGGTGATCTGACTCATCTGCTTTTCTCAATAGACAGATGACACGCTGAGGTTTTGTATGCTAAAACATATCTGTGTTTCCAAACTGTTGACATATTGTTCCTCAGTATGTCATAGTATGCCTAATCGTTTTGTTTTTGGCAGGATTTTTTCCATTCAAAATATGCAACTATTTTGAATTGCTAAATCAAAAAGACAGAAGTCATCTAGTGGCATCATCCTGAAACCCATAAAAAGTCCATTTAAAGATGGGTTACGTCCCTGTTTTGTTTCATAAGTACTACATTTTGTTTGTCCCAACAAAAGGAGTAATGTAAACATCATATTTTGGCAATAAATATGAGAACTGTATATATACATAAAAATACATGTGAAAACTAGTGATATAACACAAACTGAGAGATAGGAACAAGTTTGATGGATTTTAACACAGTTTGTGTGCCTCTTTCCTCGTTCTACAGCCTGAGGTCTGGATCTATATCCCGTCCCACTGTTTTTGAGTTTGCTGATGCAGGACAGTGATGATCTAAGGACAATTATTCACATGTGTGGACATTGGTCATATGGGTTAGGAAATACAGACAGACAGATATAATAACAAACACATAGGAGCCATTGATCCATTTCCTGTGTTCGGACTGCTTGTATTTGCTGTTGTTGGTGAATAGACACATGTGTAAAGCACTCATACACCACTACTGTTGTGTGAATAAGGTCAACGCAAAAAAAATAGATCAAATTGAATTGTAGTTTGAACCTAAAATGAGTTACCCCAGCTTACAACCCCCTCTTCGTCACTTATATGCACTTTGCCACGCAGCAGTAATACTTCACACATGACAGTATCTACACGGCTCTCGAGTGTCATTCCACAGCTGAACCCGAGTCTTCGCGAGGACCACCGTTTGGGATCTGTCAGCTCGTCTCCAAGTCTGCCTATGCACCCGGTCCCGGCACTACACCGGCTCCCAGCTGCGACGCCCGCTCTCTTGTCAGCATGTGCAAATCCATTCATCAAAAGCTAACTGACAGCTGTGCAAGGAGGGGATATTGAAACTCAGAGCCCTATAAATTTACTTCTATTAAATGTTTCAGCAAATGGCCGATACGATTCCAGCGCTGGATTTATGAGCTGCTATAGGCTGCGTTCTTTTCAAATGCCGTAGTTTCGCTCGTGTTGTGTTTGCAAAGTTTTAGTGCTTGGGTTTTGGGACACTTGGGGCTTGTCAGGGAGTGTCCATTTAGTTTGGGTTTGATTTTTATGATTGAGTTTACATATTCCCCATTGGTGCTGCAAGCTCACACGGATTACATCTATTAAATATATTTTCCCATGCTCTGAAGAGGTGCATTTTACTTGGCTCATTCCACTTGATTATGTTTATACAAAACTTGATTGGTTGATATGTGATGATTTATTAGGCAGCATATTCCAACTGAAATACTTATGAGGATTTTCTATTCATTTAATATTATGATAAAAAAATAAAAAAACTGATTTTTTTGGATTGTGGCATGTTTTATTATATGGCAAAATGTGTGAAACTGTTAGATTTTGTGAGAAAATCATATGGGGCGTGGTCCCAATAGCAGTTTGCTATGTGTACGTGGGATTTACATGGATATTCAAGAGTATTTGAATGGAATGTGTTTGTTGTAGTCAAGGTTTTGTTAAAATATACTTTCCTCACCTACAGTATATTCAAGTTCCCTATGAAGAGCCAACCTTCAATTTTCAAAAATCCCCAGTTTATTCCTGTTGATTCCCATACATTCCTGTCAATACCCTTTTATTCCCATCGAATGTTTCCGTCATTGAACATTTCCCAATTTTGCAACCCTACTTTGTAAACCTCAGTTCATACACAAGGCCATTCAAAACGCTAACAGAACATGATACACTTGGAGATCTCGGTATCTGTAAACTAAAAACGTACTGTATGTAACATTTGAATATCGAGTTTTTTTCAAAAACACTTTGACTTTTGCTCAAATCCAAAGACGCGATCAAATCTAGATTCAACTTTCTCCCATATCTCTCCATATCTATCACGCCCTTTTTACAGTACAATCTTGGCCAATACATTTCACTCGTCTCTTGCTCGACACAAAGACATCCTGCTGTGATTGATGTTTATAATAGCAGCTGGGTGTTCTCATGACCTGTGCTTGACCGCTGGGTCTTGTCCACAGCAGACAGCACCTGGTCCCCCTCTGCCTCACCATTAGAGACCTGCCAGACAAACACATCAACACTGCTGGGCCCATGCGCGTTATTTTTAGAGCCCTCGATACCAGCTCTTTGGTCGCTAACTCAATGAGATTTGCACCCCGCTCGCTGGCCTAGCCTGGCCTGGCCTGGACGGGAAGGGAAGGGATCCATTTCCTGGAAGTAACCGTAGCCTGTATACAAAAGCTTCACATAAAAGTATTTGGTTCTTCAATATATCAGGGATTAGTAAAGGTTGGCGATGTTATTACCTTGACTACTGTCTGGTATAGAAGAATGGAACACTTTTATTTACACTAAGAAGACAAGATGAAATTAAAAGCTACACATACTCAATAACTGAATTTCTCTACTTTTGTGGTAATATTTAGTAAAAACAGTGACCTACACTCAAACACACACACCCCAAAATAGATTAAACCAGATTAGAACCCCCATCTATTTATCTATCTACCTACCAAGCTACCTACCTACCTATCCATCCAACATTTAAATACACAACAGAAAACATATTTATCCACAGACACACACGCACACACACACACATACGGCCACACCCCCCAAAAGGCATATAAAAAGATTAGAACCCCGCCCGCCTTCCTTTCCTTTATTCCTTATTTGTATGCTTCTCAATGTATTCATTTTATATAATGCAATTTTTCACTTCCTTACTTGATGCTTCCAAACAAAGAGTATTAAAAAAAAGAAAAATCCTACCCATACATACAGTGTCCCATGAGGAGCTCTCAGGGCAGTCCAGTTGAAGGAACGGTAAACAACATGGGGAGAGCGAGCTGTGCGTTTAACATGTGGGCAATTATGTTTTCCTCTGAGAGCTTGTTTGGCTGATGTGTTCGTTTGAGGAGCTGTTGAAAGCACACGTCGTTTCGTATGATGTTTATCGAACTGGTCCATGTTTTAATATTTGATGCACACTACTATAAAACATGTGTAATGGAATCTAGAGTGGACTGCCGTTTCTGCGCAAGTTACAAATCATGTAGTTTGGGTTGATATCGAGCTGTGACTGTAGTTTTTGAACTCTTTATTACATGGGATTCTTGCATTAGTTCTTCTGATGATATTTAAAGCTGGGTTACAGTACAAAAATAAATGTACTTTAATGAAAATCCATCTATCTCGCTCTGAGTGGATTTTCATTAAAGTCAATTTTTTCTCAATACAGTCTGGTTCTATTTCCAGTTTTCACGTGCATATATTTATGGCATGTTACGTTATTAGAGCTTCTTTTTCACACAGATAAGTGAAAGAGGAACATCCACCCACACTCGGCCAATCAGATCTCAGCCCAAGTGTCCATTAGTGACTCACAAAGCTCTGTTTTGCAATAAAAAAAAAAAACGCACACATAATTTTCTAATCAGATTAGAATTCAATGTTGTGTCCGGACAAACAAAACCTCAAAAATAAATGTAAGTTACCCTAGCTCTAGGTATTTTGCATATGATAAAACTTCTGGAGTTTTTTTTAGCATCCAGGGAACAAACAAGTCCAAATTGTGTAAGCCTGCACCAAAATAATTATCTAAATGAATTGAAAGCTCGTTGTCCAAACCAAACAGGATGAAGTGGACCAACTCGACAAACTTTGGGCAGTCTGGGCTCTGTCCCATTGCAAGTTTTAAGCCAATGCCGTGGTCAAGGTCTGCGCTTTCCTGAATTCCATTAAACCAGACCAGGAGATTATAGATACTGCGGTGAAGACATCTGTTTATAATTTGTGTGAACTGTGCAAGCACCATGACTAAATCCACAAAATCCATCAAAAAGTCGTGTCGAACTTTCCATTGTCTGTATCTTGACGTTTTCCCTAATCGTCAGATCTCCAGTCAGACACACATCCTAACGCATTATTTCTCTTTTTGTGTGTGTGTGTGTTTTGCAGCGTCAACCATTGCAGAGAATGGGAGGAAAACATGCCTGAAGCTCAAAGTTTTTGTTCGACCATCAAGTAAGTTTTTGCATACGACTCAAAGACTTAGAATAATTGTACAGTAGCTTTCAGACCCTTTGTCTTATCAATCATTACAGTACAATGTTAACCAGAATGTTGCCATGAGCTTGTTGCTTTAGGGGACGTGGGGAAGCTTTAAATGTGACTAACTTATCCGGCTAATCTCTAATTTTCTCTTCTCGTTTCTCTGTTGTAGACACCTGTATCAAAACTACAGGTGCACATGACCGCGTTTTTGACGTAAGCGACAAAGTAGACAATACGTTAGAACCACGAGGTTAGTATGGCTTCCTTCTTGCATTTTTATTCTGGTTTTGTGTCGCCCTGTGTGTGTGTCTCTTTTCCCATTGACAGAATGCTATTGTGTACTTTTGTGGGGATCCTTGTTATGGCTTTCAGTTCTGGTGTGCTTGTAAATGCGCTTTATGAAACTAATTTTCCATTCAGATCTTTAATCTGCAGTTTGCATGTCTGAATAAAATGTTAATGTTGCAGCCTTGTTTATGAATACTGTCACTATTGGCAACTGGCTCATGAAATAGCAGCTCATGTACTTACTCGTGCTTGAAAATGTACACACCCAGCCAGACTTTCTTATATATGTTTTTTGTGGCCATTTTTCACTCATTGTCATTGGTTGTGTGAAGCCATTTATTGTCAAATTGTGTTTACGATCTCTAATCACAACACAAGAAACTTTTTTGATTGGTTGTGATTAGAAGTCTCCATACCCCAGTTATCCATAGAGTGTAGAGTGTAGAAGTTGATGGTGAAGCTGACCATTCTTCTTGGCAAAACACCAAATGTTCCTGTAAATTCCTTCCAAGAACTTTTTATTTGAGATCTCCCCTCAACTATCTTAGATTTTGAGAATAGAAAAACCCTTGTATTTGACAATATAAGGCCTCACACAGCCACTAATGATCATTGGGGAAGCAAAGCGATTGAACATTCATGATTTCCAAAACATAGAGTGTGTAAACTTTCAAACACAGCTGTAATTCTAAGAATTCCAACTAGTTTCAGGGATAACTTGAGTCAACTTCTGCCTCTATAACATAATGTGCATTCAACTTCTGCCTTTTCTCCATTGCTATGATGTAAATGGCTGTGCATGCATCTGTTGCTCATGGTGACCCCGCTCATTTTGCTTCATGAAAACATTATAGGTCCCATACAGAAGTGTTAGATAGCAACCCAAGTTCAAGTGGCAACTCACACTGTTTGGTCTATTTTAACTCAATTTTAATGAGAGAACACTTTCCTCTCCACAGATCGAACCCTGAACATAGCTGAGTGAAGTTATACGCTTGTTTCCAATGTAAAGGAAAGTTGAATGACAAACTGTTTAAATATCCAGGCAAAACAGCAATATTTAGATCAGAGTGAGCTACTTTTCGAGACAAAAACGGCAAAGAGTTACTACTTAAAAAAGAAATGGAGTCTTAGCTGTAGAATGGTGACATAGCACTGGATAGATGGATAGGGTATATAAGTGCACCTAATCCATTATCCATTTATTAGCGCAAAAAAATAAGATATTTACAATAACTGCAGGCATAGAAAACTAAATTTAAATATTGAGGACACTATTTGAAATCCTTTGAGAAGTTACTTAGAAGAAGACAGCAAGCGATAAGTTGGAGACGCATGATTTAGATGCACCCAAACAAAGAGCAGACCCACCACCAGGACAGTTGAAAATTCACATGGATACACAAATACGTTGCATCATACCACATTTGAAACGTCTATGTGCCTCTTGTTTTGCAGACGACACCAGCCACGAATCCGCCGCGCCGCGTCGTGAAGAAACAAATGCTGCAACACATCTCCAAAAAGCCACTCTGCAGGCCGTGTCGTTGGCATGCCTAGTCGCTCTCTATGCTTTATAGCGCCTCCCTCGTTCCCAGAGGAGAACCTACACCTCGCGTGGCCTGAATCTGCAGGGAAAGGGGGCGGGATTTGGGAGAGTGTCAACCTGATGGGGCGTCCAAAACAAGCTTCTCATGGAACCCTTTTTTCCAACGTCATGAAGATATTTCCGAAAGGTCTTTTTCTCTGTTCGCCAGTTGGAAGCGGGAGAGACAATTCCCCCTCTTAAACCTTCAAACTAAGATGCCAAATGCCATTTTTTGACACTTAGTGATTCTTATTTTCCCGTGACTTTTTGACATCCCTTTATACTTTTTGTGGCTGCAACATTGACATTTACCCATCCCACAGTAGCGCACACATCCAAGGAGAAAATGTCTCTTCACTAATAATAACCCATAGCAGTAGGACATTGTCAGTTGCATAGATAGTAGCAGTGTTTCTCCATAGGGAGGTTCAGATTTTAGCTCTTTAAAATGTCTGTATATACACATTAAGAAGTTTTATCCCGAGACCTCTCTAGAAGCCTTTCATAAACATTTGATGGAAGCCTGCTGCTGGGCACAAGGCTATTTTCGCACCTCTATTTTGCCGATGCCGGAGCAGCACAAAGAATCGAAAAGAATAATGGCTTAGAGTCGAGGTCACAAATGGAAAAAGTGGCGATGAAGGACGTGCACCTTATGAGACAAACACAGGCGTCGTCTGTCCGTGATTTGATGGCGTGTATGCACAGGATGATAAGCTTCTTTTTAGCGATTAAAGCATTGTAAGTTGATCTTGTAAACTGTCTCGGCTAGCGATCTGTGAGCAGCAGCCGCGATGCTGGATCAATATCTTTGGAAAGCTGATCACACAATTTCACAGCGTCTGTCACATTCATTTTAGCCAATGTTTACCGGGCTGCGCTCTCTCACTCTCTCTGGCGTCTGTATTAACAAAAAAAAATTGTCGATAAAACGCGCTTTAATAAAAGAGATTTTATTTTTCGAAAACATTAAATTATACGACCATGCTTTCGTGATTTTGCGTTTTACATCCAATTCAATTACAGTAGTACCGTTCGCAAAAGGTAGTGTGTATTTTTCAGAGGTGAATTTTAGCTTTAAATAGTGTGGTCAGTTTTATGATAGCACTTGTAGATGTAAAGGATTACACTGTGCTTTAATGATCTTCTATTCTCATTTACACTCTCCCATCGTGCCAACACCACTAAGATAATTAATACTAAACAAAGAAATGGCCTGCAATCAGTTGGGGCTTAGACATTACTTGGGATTTTACTTGCGTTTTTAAAAGTGTGATTTTTTTTTAACAAATTATATGTGAAAGCACTTAATTAATGAACGAATAGTTTCTTTCAACACAATCGAAATCCACATATGTGAAGCCATCAGTTACTATACAACTGTGTGCCAACCCATTAGGTAACAATGTCTAATAACTACACTATATCCAGCCTTGATAAGTCACAAAAAACACCATTCTTATTTAACAAATGAATGAATCATTAATAACGATTCAGCGTCAGCAACTCCTTAATTAAGAACGACGGGTATTAATTAAGCAGTTACTATAAAAATTCATTTGTTCCGAAAATAGAATATGCAGGCTTTTTATAATGTAGTTATTATTAAGTGTATTTAGAATATAACTTTTAATGTAAATATTATTGTAGAATTTTCTTGCAGCATTATTGCATTTTCTAGGATTCGCTTTGAAAAGTGTAATAATAGGGTCGCAATTTTTTTTCTTCTTTCCGGTACTTTATTGACACTTCTAAGTTTAGCACCTGAAGCCATAGTGAAATATGGATGGCTCTTTTTTAGTTCAATATAGAAATGTAGGAAAGCCTGGACGTCCATTAGCGCAGTGAAGATCAAAATTGCGTAACCAAAAGAAATAAAAGGAGCAGGAGAGTACGGGTTAGCTCTTTAATGAGGTTTAAAATGACATGCATTTGGACCCCATGTTGTGGCAACAGGAGAGAGCGATTCTGGTATTAAAAATAGATGGTGGAAGGCTTGGGGGGGGGTCTCGGGAAGGGAGGGTGTAGATTTCTAAGGTGGGAGGGGGGGGTTGAGCACCAGTGACCTTGTAGTTGGAGAGCATCTCAAGTGAAGGAGCCAATAAGAAGGAGAAGAGAGACACACAGCCCCATATTGTAGTGCCTAAAACTAAGCCCACCGGAAGACCATCCAAACAAGTCAATATCAAAGGCAAGCACTGTTTTGTTTCGTTTATGTTGACTAGCTGCCTTTATACCTAACAATGGACTGCCTTCAACTCTTTTGCTCTTTTGATTTTTGCTCTACGTTAACAAAGCTATTGCAGCGGCTTGGAGGCTCAGCTGTGTGGCCTGTAACTGGAGATGGCCATTTTAATGCGGTACTAATTTTCAAGAGATTACCACAGGGAACGCACTGAAAATCAAAATGGACGCTTATCTGCAGCTTCGGAAAACCAGCTTTTTGATTGTACTATTACAATTACCAATATTTGCCATTATCACTAATATCATCATGATTTATTCAACTGGGAAATGAGGATCAACTATTTAAGTGGATACTGTGTATCCTGAGGTAGTCAACCATAAAACAAGTAGTGTTAGGTTAGTATCTGTTTTGTACCTTTCTGGAGGACAAAAGAAAAAAGAGACACATAATTGTTAAACTGTATAATTATTATTGTTATGACTATTATTATTATTATTAGGAGAAGATCTTGATGTAAATAGTGTTTGATATTAAAGTATTAATTTGGTTCTTATGTCTTTTCTAAAAAAAAAGATGGTCATGGTATATCCTCAATGCCTACTAAACTTTATTGAGCTATTGTACAGTTGGGGGCTGCGCATTTCGAAAAGTGCGCAGACAGTTCTTGGACATTTAGCCGAAGGCGGGCTCACCCGTTCCATGTTTTCAAACCAACCTCTGCCATCTTTATTTTACACAAAGGACCCTGCCTTGGAAGGACACTCAAAACTGGGCCCCGATTGGGGGGATTTTTCTACTTGTTTTGCCTTGAGTGTTTGGAAGCATGTTGGGCGCCTCCAAGCTACACGCCGCAGAGTGGACATAACAGAAGGGTCTTGTCAGTTTTCATTTATGTGGCATGCGCATGAACTTGAAGACATGTTTGGAGTTTTCAAAATGAAGTTGTTCTGTTTTTTTGTTTTGGTTTCCATGTTAAGATCACTTAATGTATGTGTGTGTGCGTGTGTGTCTTTTGCATCCCCATTGGAGTGGCGTCATTGAAGCAGTACCGTGGCAAAATGTACATACCAAGAATCATTGTAAAGTTCCAGAGAAGGCTTGGCCACTTGTCGGTATTTTCCTACTGATTCCAACTGTCTGTATTCATCTACAAAGAACTAAATGCATTTAATTCTGTCGTCCTTGAGTGTCCATTGTTCACTCCTGAAGCCAACAGGAGCGTAAACATCGATGTGTGGACTCGGTAAAAATAACAAAACGGGAAAAAAATAGAAAAAACATGTGAGTTCTTTAGATTTCCTGTGTGTCTCATTGCTGTCGCCGCAGTGAATGGGAAGCGGCAACCCTCTTTGGCAACGAAGAGTGTTTCCCATGCCTTAGCCCTCAAGCCTCAACTCTGGCAGCCATGATTGTGTAGATGCTTTCTGCCATTTGTTGTCTTTACACTCAACGGTTGCTGGCGTCCAAGAGGCGACAGACAGGGGCCTCCTCTTTCCCCTCTTCTTTATGAAACAACTCTCATTTCCTTCCCCTCGTGGTTGTATGTCCATCCCCATGGCACAGTTCGGAGACTCCAACAGCAAAACGGTTGATGCTCATCTTTGGGCTGTGTTCAAAGGGCACTTTTTTTTCGCCACTTCATTTTGTGCATCCACTGTGTGCCATTCTCCTCCCCTGTGCTTGTACAGCCTCCACCACTCCACCCGCTGTTCCAACTTTTGTCAACGTTTTGAACCCGACCTCCACTTTGCCCTTTGTGGGGGGATGTTTTGAATCTGCTCTTTTACAGTATATAAACCACAAAAATCACAAAAAATATCTGTATTTGTATATACACGTGTCTGAGCTACTCTGAGTAATACAATAAAATGGAAAAACAAAGCTTTTGTCTGCCGAGTGTTGCTTTGCATGGGGGAGTGCAAGGGTATAATACAAATACTAGACTTTCATTGCGGTATTGATTCAAACTGAAGGAAAATGTGTTATTAGTGGTGCATTTATGGTATAATGTCACAAAAGTCAGTTATAGTTGTTCTATACCCACGCAAGAGGAGATCAAAGGTCCAAAACACAAGAGAAATTACAATCGTTTTAAGCATGGACTGTTTTTAAGGGTACTTTTAATTGGAACGTTAAGTTTGAGCTAAATTTAGCCCAGATGTGAACTGGTTTAGTCAGGTTAAGTTTGTGGGTTTATCAGTGGTTTAGGCCTTTTATTGATATAGATCAATATATACTGTATTGTAAGTGTTCTTATCTGGCCAATATTACTATGGCATGATATTTCAAAGAAAATCAAAACAAAAATGTATGTTTTCAGACATCTCTCGCTTTGGTCCAGTTTTTTTCCCATCCATTGTCCAACACATCCACTGAAAAATACAACAAAAATAATCTAATTTTAAATAAAAGACATGTTTTGTTGAAAAATACATACTACTTTATAACATATAACATTATTCATATCAAAATATTCCTTTGATATTGGACATCAGACACATGAAACCCACATCGTCCGACGTATGATTATTTCTGCTGAATGTGAATGCACCCTTAATATGATCATACTCATGGAGTGTAATTGGTTAAAAATAAATAAATCAAAGCATCAGAATCACAAGAAATGCTCTTGATTTTATAAACTTCTGGTCCAATATCAAAGTCTTACAACATAACATGAAAATAAATATAGTATACCATTCAAAGAACAAACAAAGCCACTTGTGTGAAAATGCCTGTGGTTATAATTAAGCTTTTCAGATTATCAGGTAAACAATACAAAACCACTCTCTTTCTCTGATGCC